TATGTGAGATTTCAATATCCGATATCTGGACCGAAATTGTATTATGATGTAACATAATTAAAAATATTCAAACTAGTAATTTATTGAGTTCAATCAAAATCTAAAACATTATATAGTGTTTAATTCTTAATTTTGATAATGTAAAGAATGTCTAACTTTAATGTGTAAGCAAATAAATTATGTTTAAATAATTAATGTAAGTAGAAAAGATAGAAGATAGAGATAAGTAAAATAAGATGATAATGAATGTAATCATAGTAATGTGGTTATAGTGACATATAACTAAATAGATTATTATGTTTTTCCATTTCGGAAACAGTGTGTTCCAGTTTTCTAGAAATTTTCATAAATTATTTTCAGTTTTCAAAATCGAAAACTGTGCTAGTAAACATGTTTTCAGTTTTCTATTTTCCAATTTCCGAAAATTTCCAGTTAGTTAATTTCTTGGGTATGCTGATCAATTTTTTTTTTTTTTTTTTTTATGAAGCACAAAGAATCAACCATGCCTTCACATGAGGCTCGATCTCATGACCTCCTACTTAGGAGATATCACTACATGTCATCTGAGCATTATTTTTGAGTAAGAGTGAATTTATTTTTTATTTTTTATTTTGTTGTATACAAGAGAGGGATGTTGGTGATTGTGGATTTGTGAGACAGTTTGACCGTCCAATGTATTCAAAATCCAAGATGATTATTCATAAATTGCTAAGAAGAATAAACTGGAATGAGCAAGTAATTGAAGTCCTAAAAACAAAGCGTAGAGCCGTGCTTTATTTTATTTCTTTTTTATCAATATTAGTGTTTGTTAGTAATTTCAAGGCTAGTTTATACAAATTTATACGAACACAAAAAAATATACTAAGGAACAAAAAATCTCAACTCACCGCTTGCATCATGCGTGCCTTTGGACCACTCAATTGAGACCTTCAATTTTTCGCCTTAGGTTACAAAAATGGGGCATGTGATTGAGTTGTTTATTCTGCCCTCCACTTAAACATACTTCTAATGCCTAAATAAACGAATGGCCAAAATGGTTAACATTTTTTTAAAATTGAAAATTTAATTGGACAAAAAAAATTATCAATAGTCAAATTAGTAATTTTACTGTAGTCAAGAAATCATTTCGATAATTAACTCGTAATACTAATGTACAATGTTCCCATAGGTCTCCAATTTTGCACAAATGCACACCGGTGATTAAAAATTGTAACTCATGCACTCTAAAAGTGCACTTTAAAATTTTTATAGTTTTTGAAATTTATTTATTTATTTTGTGTTTTTTATTCAATTGCGCTTTTACATATCTATCAGTTTGGTGGTATGTTACAATACACTTTTGTGCATAATGACTTTTAAATCTAGATTCTCAATATTCAAAATGAAGATTGAGCCCCATCCTATTACTTGTCATGTACTAGATCAATGCCTTGGGCATTAAAATAAATAAGTTGATGAGTTCTACAGCATGAACTCCCAAATCTTACACCATAAATTTTACTAAGTTGATGAGTTTTACAGTATGGACTCTCAAATCCTAAACCATAAATTTTATATTTCTTGATGTGTAGGAAATTGATAGATTACTTTTTTTATGTGGATCTAAGTGTCTACATAAGGATTTTGTGTGTGTGTGTGAGTAAAAGTTAGGAATATAAAATAGGAGTAAAAATATTATTTTACTAAGTTAGGTAGATGTATTGACTATTGATTAAGTGTTAAAAGATTACATTTTCCTCCCAGTTGTGAGTCTTGACTTGTCTTCTCCTTGAAAGTCACTGAAGTATATCTTTTTGATTCATCATCTTTGGGTGGCTGTGGTTTGTTCTCGCCACTCTAAAAGCTTGTCACCTTCGAGGCTCCGAGATAGAAATGGCGATCCAATACTACGTTGCAGTTTTACTGTCTATTCTCCTCCTCGTACTATCAAACTTCTTCTCCAATCGCCGCAAAAATCTACCCCCGGCTCCACTCGCTCTCCCCATCGTCGGCCATCTCTATCTCATCAAAAACTCCATTCACCAAGCTCTCGCCTCCCTGTCAGACAAATACGGCCCAGTTCTTTATCTCCGATTTGGCTGCCAGAATTTTCTCGTCGTCTCATCCCCGGCGGCCGTCGAGGACTGCTTCACCAAGAACGATATCATCCTGGCGAACCGGCCCCGGACCATGGCCGGCGACAACTTCTCCTTCGACTATAAATCCTTGCCCTTGGCCCCATACGGCGATCTCTGGAGAGTCCAACGCCGGCTGACGGTGGTCGAACTGTTTTCAACGCTCAGCCTCCAGCGCTCTTCCGCTATTCGGGAAGACGAGATTAGAATTGTGATCCGATCTTTGTTCAGACTGTCCCAGAACGGGAACTCAACCGTGGATTTCAACAATCTGGGCGGCGTGTTCACTTTCAATTCTATAATGAGAATCATGAGCGGGGAACGGTTCGTGAAAGAAGAAGAGATTGGAGGGGAGAAAGGGAAAGAGATTGTGAATGGACTTAGAGAGATTTTCTTTGCTAGTATCTCTGCCACGAATGTTTGCGATTTCTTCCCAGTGTTGAGGTGGTTTGGTTACAGGGGCCTGGAGAAGCAGATGGTGTTAGTGCACAAGAAGAGAATTGAGTTCTTAAATCGTATTCTGGACGAGTATCGACGGAGAAATGCCGGATTTTCTGAGAATTCAGAAGGTGATGAGATGAAGAAGAAGAAGAGCCCAGTGATTGAAACTCTGTTGCGTCTGCAGAAATTGGAGCCTGAATTTTACACAAATGATCTTATTATGAGTATCATTCAGGTAAGCTACTTCGATCTTCACTGTCTTCAATTTCTTCTTTATTTCCCAGAACAATTAATGGTAAAATCAACACTGCTCAATGATCTCAAGATTATGCTCTGAAGTCCATTAATTCCTTATATTTTTTATAGGTCCTAAAACTTTAAGTGAAAAGTCAATTAATTCCTTATATTTTTTAAAGGTGCAATTACATTCATCAACCATTTATTTAGGTGCAATGAAGTCCAAAAACATGTTAATGACCTCTATCACAAGTCATTTGGGTTCCGACCACCCTATAGCAAAACTTTCGACAAAAAAATGGGTCATGGAAAAGACACTAAGGTCACCTTCTTCGTAGAGAAGGCGACCCAGATCTGGGTCGTCTTCTCCAACGAGAAGGCAACCCAGTGGTTGCCTTCTCTGGTTGAGAAGGCGACCACATCTGGGTTGCCTTCCCTAGCGAGAAGACGACCCATATCTGAGTCACTTCTTGCCGGAGAAGGTGACCCAGTGGTCGCCTTTTTCGTGATCCGTGACTGATGACCGATCGTCGGTTGCCGATCACTTTTTTTTTTTTTTTTTTTTTTTTTTGTGTGTTGGAAGTTAAGCCGGTTGGTCGTCAGTCACTTGTTTTCGCCAAAAATTTTGTCGGAAGGTGGTCGGGACCCTAATGACCTGCTATAGCAGGTCATTAATCTGTTTTTAGGTTTCATTGCACCAAAATAAATTGTTGATGGGCGTAATTGCACTTTTAAAAAGTTTAGGGGGCTAATTGACTTTTGAGTTAAAATTCGATGGCCTATATAACCATTTTCCCAAACAAATTTATGCAATTGTGCAGATGTTGTTAGTTGCTGGAACGGAGACAACAACCGCAACCATTGAGTGGGCAATGTCACTTCTGTTATCTTATCCAGAAGTATTGCACAAGTTAAGATATGAAATTGACAACAACGTAGGACACAAACATTTGTTAAACGAGTCTGATCTCTCTAAGCTCCCTTATTTGCGTTGCATTATTAACGAGACACTAAGACTATACCCTCCAGTGCCACTATTGTTACCCCATTATTCCTTAGAGGATTGTGTAGTTGCAGGGTACGATGTTCCCAAACACACTACAGTTATGGTTAATTCTTGGGCTATGCATCACGATCCCAAGGTATGGGAAGAGCCGGAGAAATTCAAACCAGAAAGATTTGAGGCCATGGGAGGGGAAGAAGGAGAAGGGTTCAACTACAAGTTTGTTCCGTTTGGAACAGGGAGAAGAGCTTGTCCCGGAAATAACATGGGGTTAAGACTTGTTTCATTGGCACTTGGAGCATGTATACAGTGTTTTGATTGGGAAAATACTAAGGAGGATAAAATGCGGGCAGCCTATTTATCTCGAAGCATCTTGCAAAAGGCTGAACGATTGGAAGCAATGTGCACGCCACGCAAAAATTGCCTTCAATTTCTCTCCGAACTTTGAATTGTGTTGCATATGTTTTCAATGTTTATTTTATATACTACTTTTACAAGCGCATTGTACGACTGATTTATTACTCAACGTTTATATTTAAATAAGTAATTCAGTATATATATATATATATATATATATATATATATATATATATATATATATATATATATATATATATATGTGTGTGTGTGTGTGTGTGTGTGTGTGAGAGAGAGAGAGAGAGAGAGAGAGAGAGAGAGTAATGCTACCCAACCCTCATAATCTCCCTCTCGACATGACATTTTTCATTTGATGGTTTAGTCTTAGATAAATTGGTTTGAAACTTTAATGATGTAAGAACAATTTTGTCCGATAAAAAAATAATAGTATAATATTTGTAAAGTAATGTAAAATTGTCTCATTATAGAAATACAGAGAAAAATATTAATACCGTAATGACCTTAGTCATTCCCAATAATACAAAAGCATAATTAAAATATTGAGTCTTGTTCTAAATATAATCAAACCAAGTTAATTAAACGAAATAAAAAGGTTAAAAAAAAAAAAACTTAACTGATAATCGTAGTATGCATGGAATGGAAAGTAAGTTGAGTAAGATGGAATCTTCACTTTGGTATGTCATTCTCTAAGGATGGCAAATGAGCTGAGAATTGAACAATGTGTGGCTAAGCAAAAGTGCATAAGAGCCGTAGAAAGCTAGCTAGGTCTTAAGACTAAACAAAGAACATTATAAAAGTAACAAGGAAAAGTAAAGTAACATACATACAAGTGTAATCAAGTGAATGAAGGAGACTAGGACTAGATGTTCCTTGATCTGATAAAGGGGATAAACCTAGGTATAGGAAATAGTGAGATAAGCCATGAAGTGGCTTTCGTGGCTTACAATTGTGCTTCATATAAGCTTACTGAAGTATATCTTTTTGATTCATCATCTTTGGCTGGCTGTGGTTTATTCTGGCCACTCTAAAAGGTTGTCACCTCCGAGGCTCCGAGAAATGGCGATCCAGTACTACGTTGCAGTAGTTTTACTGTCTATTCTCCTCCTCGTACTATCAAACTTCTTCTCCAATCGCCGCAAAAATCTTCCGCCGGCTCCACTCGCTCTCCCTATCGTCGGCCATCTCTATCTCATCAAAAACTCCATTCACCAAGCTCTCGCCTCCCTGTCAGACAAATACGGCCCAGTTCTTTATCTCCGATTTGGCTGCCGGCCTTTTCTCGTCGTCTCATCCCCGGCGGCCGTCGAGGACTGCTTCACCAAGAACGATATCATCCTGGCGAACCGGCCCCGGACAATGGCCGGCGACAACTTCTCCTACGACTATAAATCCTTGCCCTTGGCCCCGTACGGCGATCTCTGGAGAGTCCAACGCCGGCTGACGGTGGCCGAACTGTTTTCAACGCTCAGCCTCCAGCGCTCTTCTGCTATTCGGGAAGACGAGATTCGAACTGTGATCCGAGCCTTGTTCAGACTGTCCCAGAACCAGAACGGGAACTCAACCGTGGATTTCAACAATCTGGGTGGCGTGTTCACTTTCAATTCCATGATGAGAATCATGAGCGGGGAACGGTTCGTGAAAGAAGAAGAGATTGGAGGGGAGAAAGGGAAAGAGATTGTGAATGGACTTAGAGAGGTTTTCTTTGCTAGTATCTTAGCCACGAATGTTTGCGATTTCTTCCCAGTGTTGAGGTGGTTTGGTTACAGAGGCCTGGAGAAGCAGATGGTGTTAGTGCACAAGAAGAGAGTTGAGTTCTTAAACCGCATTCTGGACGAGTTTCGACGGAGAAATGCCGGATTTTCTGAGAATTCTGAAGGTGATGAGATGAAGAAGAAGAATAGCCCAGTGATTGAAACTCTGTTGCGTCTGCAAAAATTGGAGCCTGAAATTTACACAAATGATCTTATTATGAGTATCTTACAGGTAAGCTATTTCGATCTTCACTGTCTTCAACTTCTTTATTTCCCAGAACAATTACTGGTAAAATCAACACTGCTCAATATAACAATGATCTCAAGATTATGCTCTGATCTTATAACATTAAAAGAGTTAATACCATATGAGGTCCACCGAGTAAACTGATTTTGCCTTGTTTAATTTTAAACTTTCAAATTGTCCATCTGTGGTCTTTCGACTCTCAAATTTAATCATGGTTTAAGTTAATCACTAATGGTCCTTCAAGTTTTGAAATTTAACCAGTGGTAGTCCTCTTGAAAGGACTATGGTTTGTTAAAATTTAATAGTTGAAGGGATATGTGTGGTTAACTTGGAACACAAATTGTTAAATTTGAAAGTTGAAAGACCACAGATTGTCAATTTGAAAGTTTAGGACTAAACGTGGCAAAACCACTATATTCGGGGGACCTCAAATGGTATTAACTCAACATTAAAACAAATGTATGCAATTGTGCAGATGGTGTTTGTTGCAGGAACGGAGACAACATCAGTGACCATTGAGTGGGCAATGTCACTTCTGTTATCTTATCCAGAAGTATTACACAAGTTAAGATATGAGATTGACAACAACGTAGGACATAAACATTTGTTAAACGAGTCTGATCTCTCTAAGCTCCCTTATTTGCGTTGCGTTATTAACGAGACACTAAGACTATACCCTCCAGCACCACTATTGTTACCCCATTATTCTTTAGAGGATTGTGTAGTTGCAGGGTACGATGTTCCCAAACACACTACTGTGATGGTTAATGCTTGGGCTATGCATCACGATCCCAAGGTATGGGAAGAGCCGGAGAAATTCAAGCCAGAAAGATTTGAGGCCATTGTAGGGGAAGAAGGAGAAGGGTTCAACTACAAGTTTGTTCCGTTTGGAACAGGGAGAAGAGCTTGTCCCGCAAATAACATGGGGTTAAGGCTTGTTTCATTGGCGCTTGGAGCATATATTCAGTGTTTTGATTGGAAAAATACTAAGGAGGATAAAATATTGTGCGCAACCTATTTATCTCCAAGCATCTTGCAAAAGGATGAACGATTGGAAGCAATATGCACACCGCGCAAAAATTGCCTTCAATTTCTCTCCCAACTTTGAATTGTGTTTGCATATGTCTTCAATGTTTATTTTATCTAATAATTTTGCACGTGTATTGTGCGACTGATTTAATGCACAATGTTTGTCCTATGTGTACTTTAGTTCATGAGGATGTCATGTACTAACTCATTGAGTGTGCGTATGTACATCGTGTTTGGAATGAATTCTGTCTCCATATTTTTTGTGTGTGTGGTTGGTCTTTTGCGAAATGGTTTCAGAATGCTATGATTGTGTTAACGACGAATGTTCTTATTCAAGTTATTGTAGTTTTTTATCAAGTATGGTGTGTAAGAAATACTGCGGTGTGGGAGACATTTTTGCAGGCGCCAAAGTGTGTTCGGAGGGCGGCTGTGGCGTCCATTACGCCTTGGAATTCGGCCGGACAGCACGCGGAGAACTCCGCTCAGCAGCAGCACACGCTGGCAGTAGCGGGGATGCGCTGCTTCGTCGATGCAGCGTTCGTGCCTGGTTCGGGAGCGGCAGCGTTTGGAGCGGTGTTGTTGGCGGATGGTGGCTCCTTCGTGGCAGCAGTGAACGGGAGGTTGTCATACTGTGAAAATGCTCTCACGGCTGGCCCTGGCTTGCAAGGAGGTTTTGTCTTGGTTGAAGGCTCGTGATGTTACGGATGTTACTCTTTATATGGACTACGCGATCCTTCAAAATTACATCAGCAATTTATCTATTGCCCCTATATCTTACGTTGGCCTGGTGATCAATGACTACAGAGCTATCATGGCTACTTTCTCTTCTTGTGTTTTATTATCGGTTTTTAGGCGTTTAAACATTATTGCCCATACTTTAGCGTCTAATGCCTCGACTCAGGCTACTACTTTGTATTGGGACATTGTCCCTCCTGACTTTATTTTGATGCATTTGCAGTAATAATATTGTTTCGTTGTTTGCTTTCAAAAAAAAAAAGTAATTTAAAGTATAGCAACACAAAATTATATATCAGAAGTTCATTATAGATAATTGCACTTTTCTAAAAACAATTATCTAAATACTTGTTGTAGTTGATATGGAGAAGGCGACCTTGGTGTCTTCTCCGTGACCAACGACCGTTCATTGGTCGCCGATCACTTTTTTTGTTTGAAATTTTGCTGGAGGTGGCCGAAACCATAATGACCTGTGATAGCAGGTCATTAACCTGTTTTTGGGCTTCCTTGCACATAAATTGTTGGTGGGTATAAGTGTATAATTACACCTTTAAAAAATTTAAGTAGCTAATTGACTTTTCAGCTAAAGTTCGAAGGTCTATTTGACCATTTTCTCTATAATTTTTGTTATCTTAAATAACGCCAAACGTCACTTATAATAGTATTAGTTTGATTTTTTTTTTTTTTTTTTGAAATGTGTTTGAAGAATGGACAAATATACAAAATAGTAGTTTAGAAAAAAAAGTGTTTTTTATGTACGTCTACTAATTTAAATATTTAAATAAAATTAAAACACAATTTTTTTTTTTATACATCTTTATCCCTCTCCTTTTCCCAAACTAGCCAGTATTTGCTATATATTTGAATACCTTTTAAAATATTCACATTTTTCTCCAAATATTCAAAAATAGTATTCAAATGGTTAAGGTTCCTGGTTTGTACTAGCCACTTGAAAAGATTGCCAATTCCAACATGGAGAGCCAAACTACCAGACTATTCCTAACACAGAGAAATAACATAAATTACTGAGAGCGACTTATTAGTCTTCTTTGTTTAAGTCTATAAGTTATGTACAATCTTCCATTTACATTCCTATTATTATATCAAAATATGAAAACTTTAGAGACAAGAGATATTTCACGCTTTTAGGATAAGAGAAATCACTCTGTACCTCACTATTCAATTCTTAAAATGGATGTGATTCTCCATACATTATAAAAGTGGCCAGCAGCCGCACTCCATAATAATAATAATAATTGCCCCCAACATTATTACAACAATGTATCGTACGTTGTTACTTTCAACATGGGGTCCAATACTATGTTGATTGAACATACAATTTAGTGTTGCCAATTTGGTAAGCTTGTTCTGTATGTCTGCATCACTATATGCTACCGACGACACACTATCCAAACATAACCAAAGAGTAAATTTTACTTTTAGTCATCAATTATTGTTATATTATAATATTTAACTTAATATTTTTTTTTCTAATTTTGTCTCATTACATCCCTAACTTCTATTTGTTTGTTTACGATAATTGCTCATCATTTACATTTTTGTCATCATTTCATCATTTAATAAAGATGGGTAAAATGTAATTTTAAAAAAAAATGTGAAATCTCTGGCCTCTAGAGTTTTTATATTTTGATATAGGCCCTGTTTGGTAAAATATTAGCCTATCAATCAATTTTGACTTATTTAACCACCATTAATTGTTTGACTTGGTTAAAAAATCAATATTAAGTGTTTGGTTAAGGGCATCTTCAATAAGGGTATCATCACCGCATTTTAGAATAGTAAAATTCCCTTGGGGTAGACTTTGACAAATAGGGTTGGGAGATTTTGAAGAAATTTTGCTCCTGCAAAATCAAAGCTTTTGTCAGCAATATATATATATATATATATATATATATATATATGTGTGTGTGTGTGTGTGTGTGTGTGTGTGTGTGTGTGTGTGTGTGTGTGTGTGTGTGTGTGTGTGTGTGTGTGTGTAAACTGCAGCTTTTCAGAGTGGCCGCCAGTGGGCCACTCTAAAATTTAATTTCGTTGGCCGTGGCCAATGGCAACGACCAAGTTTTTCCGACTGTTGCAATGGCAACAGCCAAATTTTTCCGGCCATTGCAACGAAACCCTTTTTTTAAAAAAATTATTATTATTATTATTATTTGCAGGGAATTTCGAAGGAAATTTTGAAGAAAAACGAAAACTAGGAAGAACTGAGAACGGAGAAGTGAGAGTGGATTGCTTATTTCTCTCCACTTATTTTTTTATATTTCACCAAATTTATTTTTATATTTCTCTTAATTATTTGTTTAATTTTTATTCTATAACTATCGTATTAATTAATTAGGCGTACTGTGTTTATTTTAATTAAGTTTGAAAATTAAAATTTTAAGCAAGTATTTGTTTAATTTTCATATTTATGTATGTTCATTTATTTATCTTTATTTAAAAATTATAAATTTATAAATCAAATAAATAAAGAAATAAATTAAAATATGGAGATACAATGGTGGATACACAAAAAATTGTGAAAAAACTTAAAACTAATGGAAAGAAGAGATTTTGTAATTGAGGGGGATAGTGGATGTTGGGTTGGGGCCCACAAAAATCTGGGATAAAATCTCATACTATTGAGGATGCCCTAATTAGCTTTTTATAATTTCAAAATGCTAAAATTCAAAAAATTACTCAAATCAACTTTTTCAATTAGCTTTTTGAGAAAAAAAAAATTATACCTCCTCAACTATTATGATATTTTTATATTTAGTCCTATTTTTAAATTTTGTAACATTACATCCTTAATTTTTATTTGTTTAGTCCCTTTTAAAAATGTTGTCATTCCACCATTTAATAAATATAGCTAACATGTAATTTTATCATCCAATTAAAATAGTATACAAGAGAGGGGGGAAATTACATGTTGAGACACGATGTTTGAATGATAAAATTACATTTTAGTCATCTTTATTAAATGATGAAATGACAAAAATATAAATGATGAAATGACAAAAATGTAAATGATGGAGCAATTATTGTAAACAAAAAGATGTTAGGATATAATGAAACAAAATTGAAAAAAAAAATTAAGTTAAATATGACAATATAACAATAATCTATATATCTATATATATATATAAAAGTAATAAAATATTAATTGAGTATTGATAAAAGAAGTAATAGAACATAATTAGTAAGAGAATAATGTAATTTATAAGGAAATATTCTTTGGTAAGTAAATAATATAATTAAATATGGAAATAATATTGTTACGAATGAAAAAGAAATTGGAAAAAGAAAATGGAAAATGTGGAATGAAAATAAAAGGAAAATTGGAGTCCATTAGTATTAGTAATTTTATGAGTAAAATGAAAATCGAGTAGTTTTGTTATGAAAATGAAAACTATTTCCATCTTTATTTTCAGAAATTAGGAAATATTAATTTTATTGGAAAAAGAAATGAAAATTACAAATTGAATACAAATAAAGAGATCTCTACCTATCGCCTATAAAATGATCGATGCAACCAAACTTGGGATTGCCTTTCCCCAGTGAACTACTCAGAGATTCAAGAATCATATTCTCTCTCTAAGGTTTTTCCGAGAATGGCGGATCACCGTCATCGTTTCCAGTCGCAGAGCAAGAAAAAAGGAGATCTGAGATGGCCAGGTAATGTTATTCTATATAAACTCAGCAAAATGCATTCTCAAACTCTCATCTTATATTGCTTTTATCTTAATGTCAAATGTCAAATTAGGCTCTAGGAGATGCACACTCTTAAAGATCATGTTGACTTAGTGGTGAATCTGTAAAGGGTTGGAAGTATCTAAGCAGATCAGCATTACATGGTTTAAAATCGAGTTGAAACTGGTCGCAAGCCTTTCATTGGAGTGAGCAACAACAACCATTTATGATAACTAACTCAGAAGAATACAGAGGAGTTGAGGGTTAGAGTTATGATCATCATAATCTAATCTTTTTCTGTATGTTTTACTTTTGCATTTCTGGTTGTATTTCATTGCACCCAACTATTGTAAACTTTGATTTTACTCTTTTAGAGAGGAAAAACTCTCGCATGTAGTAGGTTTAATATATATATATATATATATATATATATATATATATATATATATATATATATATATATATATATATATATATATATATATATATATATATATATATATATATATATATATATATATATATATATATATATATATATATATATATATTTATATTTATATTTATATTTATTTATTTATTTATATAAAACATTTAGAGGCATCCATCCTTTGTAAATCAAGGACTTTTGATACTCTCTCAATGTTAAATTCTCAGTCGCTTTTAATGCCTTTTGTAAACACAGGGATAAATCCAAGTATCGCTTTGCAATTGCAGATTAAGTAGCCTCTTTACTCTTG